AGGCATAAGGCTATCCTAACTATAAGATAAGGCTAGGGACTAATGAAAGTATTTAGAAAATTGGGCAGACTAGATGGGCTGAATGGTTCTTATCTGCCGTCACATTCTATGTTTCTATGTTTCTATGTTTCTATGTTTCTATTTCCACTGTATGTATATGTATATATATATATATATATATATATATATATATGTATACACACATAACTGGTTCCCACTCTAAATTGTGCATAAAAAGGCTGCAAAGTATAAACAAAGAAACAAACTTGCAAAGAGTAAAGATAGAGAAAATATGGCTACAAAAAAATAAACAAGAGAATTGAAACTAAATACAAAAAAAGAGAAAAAAGCAGAAGTGGAACAAAAACAAAAATTAACGTCTATGTTCTCCCCACGAATCTCTAAAAAAATAAAAAATAAGAGTGTCAGGAAGACTCAGTAAGCTCAGTAGGAGGAAATGGGGAAACAATGAGCAGAACCTCTCTTAGTACCTCAATACTGGAAACGCAATATATTTCTCAAGCTCAATTACTAAGTTGCTTAGATAACCACATTGAGCAAATTAAAACAGAACTGAAATCCCAATATTCTGATTTTAAGGAAGAACTAATAAAAATGGGCTCAAAGATTCATATTCGGGAGGAAAAAATTGAAGGATTACATTTTGATCTAACAAGACAAAAAAGGAGAGAATTCACAAAAATCACTACCTGCCTCAGAGAAAAAAATATTAAATATGTATGGGGCTTTCCGGTGAAATTAATAATATGGAACAACAATAAGCCCTTTATATTTGACAAAGTGGCTAAAGCAAAGGAGTGGGTTGACAAGCTAGCAATATAATTATCCATATGCAAGAAACTGCAGTGTAGTTTAAGTAAATGTGCTCAAGGGAAAATATAAGAGATAGGGAGAAATATAGCTAAAAACCTAGTTATTTTTTTATGTTATTTTTATTTTATTCATTTATTTTTTTCTTATTTTTTTTCTTCTTCTTCGAGAATAACTATAAGCCTGATAATAAGCACAATGTAAATTATTCACATAAGATAGTAATGATGAGTCTGGTGGAAAGGCAAAATAAGATAGTACATATACGATTTATTAATCAAAGAGAAAGGAAGAAATGGAAGCGGAAAGGAGAAGAAATCTAAATATATAGATATGCACACTAAGCACATAAAAATTAAAGAGAAAGCAAAAGTGAAAGTAAGGGGTAGGCAGAATAATTAGATAGGATTTTCATATTATGTATACAAATATAAAAAGGATCACATGACAAAGATAAAACAATGTAGCAGGATAGGTTAAGGATATACTTAGCCCCTTAAGGATCTATCCCTCACTACCGTCTGTGTAACTTTTTACTATTATTTATTCTTTTTCTCACTGTTTTTTGGGGGTGATCTACAGAGTGTTGTAATTGGGGTTTGGTTTATTTCGGCTAGCATTTCAACTGTACTTTTTGGTTCGAGGCACGCTGCCGTTTTTTCTCCCAAATACTCTGGTATATCTCCATATCTCCCTGACGACTTCAAACCCCCTTTGATTTCAAAGATATTACAGTAATATTCCTCATTTTTACTGCAATACACTTGTTGCAATCATATGTGGGTTGCAAAATTTATTTTTTGAAATCATTTTTTGTAGTAAGATATCCTCTAATTTCTAGCTCTACACCTTAATAATATCGGCTACTGATACATTGATAAAAATAAATTAGCAACAGTTTACAAGTATACTGTTACTGTTTCAGTATTCAGCCGAGATGATGTGTAATGTATATAGTTAGCAGAATAGCTGTAAGTCTTTATTTCTTTTAATCACCTTTTTGTATTTTTCACCTTACATTGTATATACACCCCTTTTCTATGAGTCAATTAACCCTTAAGAGGGACCAATAAAGTTTTATTTTGTTCAATATATGTCCTATATTCCAGGCTGGACACCTTGTAGCCACATATTAGTAGAGTCATTAATTTCGACCACACACGGGCTACTCCAGGCATCACAGGATTATAATATCTATTGCTTATTTAGGAATATCCTCTTGTAATTTTATGTAAATAGCACAATACACATATCCCACACTGTCATATCTGTTTATTGTTTGTTCCTTTCTTTCCCTTAAGAGGGACCAAACATAATTTCATACTTATGATGTGTAGTTCCAATAATACTCTATAATTAGCAACGTTTCGTTGTATACTGGTGGAGTAGTTTACGTTTTGGGTATAGAGACTGGATTTGGGAGACTGGATTCCAGTCTTTTCTTTATTTGTTGACAAACCAAGTTAAGAAACAGAATTTAAAATCTAGAATTTTTAAAATAGTGGATAATAACGAAGTCTATAATTCCCCAGATAAAATTGGAGCTGCATTTAAGAATTATTACAATGGTTTATACATTGGCGGATCCAGAGCCTGATCTCGGGAGGGGCACTTGTAGATTATTTAAAGAAATAATCCAGACACAATAACCACTCAGTGTAGTGGTTATGGTGTCAACAGTGCCGGGACCCCCTCCCAGAGTAAGTAGTCAAACCGTTTAAGAACAGTTTGACAACTTACCTGAGGTCTGCTGGGAAATGGGGCTGTAGTAGGGCATATGAGCAGTGGTGTGTGTGAGTGGTGCAATGTGTAAGGGGTGCAGTATGTGTGTGTGTGTGTGTGTGAGAGGGGGACAGTGTGTGAGCAGTGTGTGTGTGTGTGAAGGTTGTAGTATGTGAGTGAGGGCGGCAGTGTATGTCAGGGATGCAGTGTGTGTGTGAGTATTGCAGTGTATGTGTGAGTGTGGACAGTGTGTGTGTATGGGGGGCAATGTGTGTGTGTATGGGGGGCAGTGTGTGTGTATGAGGGGCAGTGTGTGTGTGGTAGTATGGGGGCGGTATGTGGTAGCCCATGGGGCAATGTGTGTGTGTATGGGGCAGTGTGTGTATGGGGGGCACTGTATGTGTGTGTGTGGGGCAGTGTGTGTATGGGGGGGCCTTGGCGTGTGTGTATGGGCAGTATGTGTGTATGGGTGGCAGTATGTGTGGATGGGGGCAATGTGTGTGGATGGGGGCAGTATGTGTGTATGGGGGCAATGTGTGTGTGGATGGGGGCAGTGTGGGGGGGGCAATGTGTGTGGATGGGGGCGGTATGTGTGTGTATGGGGGCAGTATGGGGGCAGTAATGTGTGTGTGTGAGGGGCGGTATGGGGGCAGTATGTGTGTATGGGGGCAATGTGTGTGAATGTGGAGGGGCAGTATGGGGCAATATTATTGTGTATGGGGGGCAGTATGGGGGGCAATGTGTGTGTGGAAGAGGGGGCAGTATGGGGAACTTGATAATGTGTGTGTATGGGGGGCAATGTGTGTGGATGGGGGGCAATGTGTGTGGAAGGGAGCAGTATGGGGAGACGAGTATGGGGGCAATGTGTGTGTGTATGGGGGGGGCAATGTGTGTGTGGATGGGGGCAATGTGTGTGGATGGGGGGCAATGGGGGCAGTATGGGGGCAATGTGTGTGTATGGGGGGCAATGTGTGTGTATGGGGGTGTATGTGTATAGAGTGTGTGATAAGGGTAGGTTTTTTTTTTAATAATATATATTTTTATTTATTTAATTAAAATAAATATATACTCTATGTCCCCCCTCCCTTCTTACCTTTACTGGGGAGGAGGGGGGACATATTTTGATCCCTGGTGGTCCCAGTGGTGATTCCCTGCGAGTCCCATTGGGGACAGTGAACTCTAGCCCGGCTAGTCTCGCGAGATTTGGAGCGTTGCCGTGGTAACCGCGGCAACGCTGCAAATCTCGCGAGAGGAGGACCCGGAGGAGCTGCAGCCTGAGCTCCCGGGTCCTCTCCCTCCCCTGCCGGTGCCTGCGGACCGGGGAGGGAGAGCTCTGATCTCCCCTCCGGTCCGCAGGCACATTGCAGGGCTAGCACCTGCATGTGCTGCTGGCAGGGGAGAGGGAGACCGGCGGATTTCTCGGGGGGGGCAATTGCCCCGTTGCCCCCCCCCTGGATCCGCCACTGGGTTTATATAATATTCCCAGCAAGAACAAAACAGACAGATAATTAAAGAGTATTTAACTACAACTAAATTACCGACATTAATGCAGGAACAAAGAGAAAGCCTAGATGTACCCTTTCAATTAATTGAAGTCAAAAAGGCTATAAAAAAACTAAAAACAAATAAATCCCCAAGACGGGATGGAATGTCTAACATACTATACAAGAAACTAGCCGAAATATTGTCCCCTCATATGACAAACCTTTTTAACAAAATAAAGCATACTAAAAGATTTCCAAAAGAGATGCTTCAAGCATCTATCCTGCCCATTCCGTAGCAAAATAAGGATCCCACAGGGGTAGCAAACTACAGACCAATATCATTAATAAATTCGGACACCAAGATATACTCAGCTATACTGGCTGAGAGAATTAACATAATTTTTTGATAATTGGAACGGATCAAACAGGATTTGTGAGATCCCGGCACTCAAACAGTAACATAAGGAAGATAATACATCTAATTGACTACACAAAATTAAAACAACAACCGATGTTAATGCTGTCTATCAACGCAGAAAAGGCTTTTGACCGGATCAATTGGATGTCCCTAGAGGAAACCATGAGAGCATTTAATCTGGGAGACAGTTTAATTTACTATGTCATAGCCTTATATGCAGCTCCATCAGCTTGAGTGATAGGTAAAGGGTTCTGTTCGAATTGGCTGAATATTAAGAATGGTACGAGACAACATAGAAACATAGAATGTGACGGCAGATAAGAACCATTCAGCCCATCTAGTCTGCCCAATTTTCTAAATACTTTCATTAGTCCCTGGCCATATTTTATAGTTAGAATAGCCTTATGCCTATCCCACGCATGCTTAAACTCCTTTACTGTGTTAACCTCTACTACTTCAGGTGGAAGGCTATTCCATGCATCCACTACCCTCTCAGTAAAGTAATACTTCCTGATATTATTTTTAAACCTTTGTCCCTCTAATTTAAGACTATGTCCTCTTGTTGTGGTAGTTTTTCTTCTTTTTAAATATAGTCTCCTCCTTTACTGTGTTGATTCCCTTTATATATTTAAATGTTTCTATCATATCCCCCCTGTCTCGTCTTTCCTCCAAGCTATACATGTTAAGATCCTTTAACCTTTCCTGGTAAGTTTTATCCCGCAATCCATGAACCAGTTTAGTAGCCCTTCTCTGAACTCTTTCTAAGGTATCAATATCCTTCTGAAGATACGGTCTCCAGTACTGTGTACAATACTCCAAGTGAGGTCTCACCAGTGTTCTGTACAAAGGCATGAGCACTTCCCTCTTTCTACTGCTAATAACTCTCCCTAAACAACCAAGCATTCTGCTAGCATTTCCTGCTGCTCTATTACATTGTCTGCCTACCTTTAAGTAATCAGAAATAATCACCCCTAAATCCCTTTCCTCAGATGTTGAGGTTAGGACTCTATTGAATATTCTGTACTCTGCCCTTGGGTTTTTATGTCCAATATGCATTATCTTGCACTTATCTACATTAAATGTCAGTTGCCACAATTCTGACCATTTTTCTAGTTTACCTAAATCATTTGCCATTTGGCTTATCCCTCCTGGAACATCAACCCTGTTACATATCTTAGTATCATCAGCATAAAGACATACCTTACCATCAAGACCTTCTGCAATATCATTAATAAAAAATATTAAAGAGAATGGGTCCAAGTACAGATCCCTGAGGTACCCCACGGGTGACAAGTCCAAGCTTCTAATATATTCCATTGACTACAACCCTCTGTTGCCTGTCACTCAGCCACTGCCTTACCCATTCAACAATATTGGAATCCAAACTTAAAGATTGCAGTTTATTGATAAGCCTTCTATGTGCAACAGTGTCAAAGCCTTACTGAAATCTAGGTAAGCAATGTCTACTGCACCACCCTGATCTATAATTTTAGTTACCCAATCAAAAAAATCAATAAGATTAGTTTGGCATGATCTCCCTGAAGTAAACCCATGTTGTCTCTGATCTTGAAATCCATGTGTTTTTAGATCTTCAACAATCCTATCCTTTAACATGGCCATCACTTTCCCCACTAAAGTAAGGCTTACTGGCCTATAGTTGCCCGACTCCTCTCTATTACCTTTCTTGTGAATGGGCACAACATTCGCTAACTTCCAATCTTCTGGGTCTACTCCTGTTAACAATGATTGTGATGGTTAAATAAATCTGTTAATGGTTTTGCTAGTACACCACTAAGCTCTTTTAATAGCGTTGGGTGTATTCCATCAGGTCCCATTGACTTATTTGTCTTTACTTTTGACAGTTGAAATAGAACCTCTTCCTCTGTAAACTCACGTGTAATAAATGACTCATTTATCCTTTTTCTTATCTGAGGTCCCTTTCCTTCATTTTCATCTGTAAATACAGAACATAAATATTCATTGAGGCAGTCAGCTGGACCTTTATCCTCTTCTACATACCTTCCTTCTTTTGTTTTTAATCTAACTAATACTTGTTTTACTTTTCTTTTCTCATTTATGTATCTAAAAAAAGTTTTGTCCCCCTTTTTTACTGACTGCTCTTTTCTCTTCTGTGTGTGATTTGGAGGCTCTTATAACTTGCTTAGCCTCTTTATGCCTAATCTTATAGATCATTTTGTCTTCCTCACTCTGGGTTTTTTTTATAATTACTAAATGCTAACTTTTTAGTTTTTAACTATTTTGGCCACATCTGTGGAGTACCACAGTGGTTTCTTGCATTTTTTTCTTTTACTGACAAGCCTAATGCAATTTTCTGTTGCCTTCAGTAGTGCAACTTTTAGATAATCCCATTTCTCTTGGACTCCATTTAAATTGCTCCAGTCTGACAATGACTCCTCTACACATATTCTAATTTTAGAAAAGTCTGTTTTTCTAAAGTCTAAAACGTTTTTTTGTGGTGTTCTTATATTACACCACACTGACTGATGATCACTGGATCCTAAACTTTCACCTACAGTAATATCTGATACCAAATCTCCATTTGTTAACACTAAATCTAGTATGGCCTCTTTACGAGTTGGCTCCTAAACGATTTGTTTTAGAGACAATCCCAGTAGGGAGTTTAGAATATGTGTGCTCCTGGCACAAGCAGCTATTTTTGTTTTCCAACTTACATCAGGAAGATTAAAGACACCCATGATGATAACTTCCCCCTTCGTTGTTATTTTAGATATTTCCTCAACTAGTAGATTATCTAACTCTTCAATTTGTCCTGGGGGGCTATAAATCACACCTACACGAGACAAGGATGCCCGTTGGCTCCAATGCTTTACATTATGTCTCTGGAACCATTTGCTAATATTATACGTAACAATCAGGGCCGGATTAACATAGGGGCTGATGGAGCTGCAGCTCCAGGCCCAGGCCTATGGAATAGGCCCATTAAAAAAAAATATATATATATTTTATTTTTTTATTTTTTTATTTTTTTTACACACTACTCTTAGGTTTGCCAGGTGACTGCTATTTTACTGGCACAGCCGGTATGTGAGGCTGCCTGGCCGTGACGGTATTGCAGTAATACCGGCAAAACAAATGCAGGTAATTTTCTCAGAATAAATGGAGATTACCCTGCAATACCAGCACCGGCCAGTAGGGGTCACTGTGTGTGGAGAGAGGCAGGGATAGGAAGTTACAGAATATCCCTGCCTCTCTCTACTACTCACTGATCCGTGGGGGAGCAGCAACACAGCACAGAGTCCAGACAGCAGCTCTACAGCTCAGGTAAGTGAGGGATGGGGGGAAAGGCAGCAGGTACACATGGGGACACTGAGACAATAGGGGACATATGGGGACACTAGGGGACACAGACACTAGGGGACACAGACACTAA